CACACACACACACACACACGGGGGCTGGAGGGAGGCTGTGTCTCCCTGTAGGCACTTCGATCATACTGCACACACACACACACACACACACACACACGCAAGCAGCTGGAGGGAGGCTGTGTCTCCCTGTAGATATTCTTCCTTGTGTGCCATGTGCACGTACCACCTATTTGAGAGCAATCTGACTGCACACAGACTCACTTGTCATTGCACAAGGGCTAACTCTCTCTGCATGGCTGGTTCCTCACTACAATTCTATAAAATGGTTATTTCCACTTGACAACTGAGGAAATGAGGCTACAAGAGGGTCCATAATGTTCCTCTGGGTCACCAGTGTCCAGCTGAGCCCCAAGCCTTATATGACTGCACTGTGACCCAAGGCCTAGCAGGTAGGAGATATCCTGTGAGCAGCGGAAACAGGGACCCTCAGGGCATGTGGGATCTTGAGAACTTCAGGATAGTGCTTCAACTTTGTCTGAGCATTGGAAGTATAAAGGGAGCTCTGGAGATCCCTGTGCTAGGCCACACCCAGACTGTCTAAGTGGGTGCCCCAGGCCAAAGTGAGAGCATATTTCCCCATGAACTCCATACAGGCTGGGTGAGATCCACTCTTCTAGGCTCTGGGAGGGAAGCTCATCTAAAGTGACCTGCTCTGAAGGCACACTCCTGATCCACTCCTAATCTGAGGAGCAAAGCACCTCATTCCAAGTCAGCCTGGCCCTGGCCCATGTCCTGCTTCTCCAGAGGAACTTGGTGCTGAAGGGCTGGGCTTTACGAGGAGCTGGCCCATGAATGTCCAGGCTATCCAAATCCAATAGCTACAGGAATCAGATAAGAAATGTCAGGTAGAAGACTGGGTGCAGTGGCTCACATCTGTAGCCAGTACTCTGGGAGGCTGAGATGGGTGGATTGCTTGAGCTCAGGAGTTCAAGATCAGCCTGAGCAAGAGCGAGACCCTGTTTCTAAAAATAACCGGGCATTGTGGAGGGTGCCTGTAGCCCCAGCTACTCAGGAGGCTGAGACCAGAGAATCACTTGAGCCTTGGAGTTTGAGGTTGCTGTGAGCTATGACGCCACAGCACTCTACCCAGAGCAACATAGTGAGACTCTGTCTCAGAAAAGGGGAAAAAAAAAAAAAAAAGACATGTCAGGTAGGAAGAGGCTGGAAAGTGACTGAGGGACTGGAGACGTGGCCTATCCAGAGTAGACAACTGACCACTCAGGCACTGATGTCAACTGCCTCCAGAATGGCTAGCAACCACAATTTTTCTGTGAAATCTGCCAGGTTCTGCAAAATGTTTTGTGAAAATGTTCTGCAAATTTTTTTTGAAATCTGCCAGTTTCTGCAAAATGTTCAAAAGTTTTTAAACCCTTCACAGGCCAAATAAAACACAGAAGAGCCAAGTGTGTTCTATGCAGGAACACCCCTCCCTATACATAAGGAGAGTCCTGAGAATTAAATCCCACAGAATGGGATGTCCTGTTAGGGAGGCTAATGAGACAAGAACCAGCCTGGAGAGTGGAGAGGGCTGATCACCAGCTGGGTTAGATCTGCGCTCCTGGGGACGCCTTCCACTATAATCTTCACGACAGGAGTAGCTTTCTGGGTCCCTTAAAGCCCCTGTGTATAAGCAAACCTGGTGTGTGCGTACAGTTTTGAGGAGAGAGAAGATCCAAAGCTTTCCTTAGTGTTTCACAAAGATCTGTGATTTAAAACAGGCTGAGAATCCTGTCTTTAAAGGTAATACGAGGCAGTGGCTCACGCCTGTAATCCCAGCACTCTAGAAGGCCAAGGCAGGAGAGTTGCTTAAACCCAGGAGTTTGAGATCAGCCTGAGCAAGAGTGAGCAAGACTCTCCTCTCTAAAACAGAAAAAAGACAGAAAAGAAAAATTATACAGGAGTGATGCCACATGCCTATAGTCCCAGCTAACTGAGAGGCTGAGAGGCACAAAGATTGCTTGAGCCCAGGAGTGTAAGGTTGTGGTGAGCTATGATGGCATGACACTATTGCACTCTAGTCTGGGGAACACCGTGAAACCCTGTCTCCAAAAAAAAAAAAAAAGGATTTCTAACTAAAATAAACAATTCCCATCAAGTACAAAGATTGGTACCCTTTCCAATGGCATTTGCTTGGGCTAGACCCAGTAGTTTGGTTAGGCTGGGCCCTGAACTCCAGGGGTGTTCCTATGCTCTTCCCTCAGGGGGAAAGACCTTCCTCCCCGGTCAACTCTTCTTTGTCCTGTAAGCCTCAGTCATCTTTATGCTCTTCCTTAGCAGGTGTGAAGACACCCCTGAGGCTCCCTGGGCTTCCCTCTGGTTGATGCTGACTGCTTCACTCACTCAGTGGGGAGGGACTGGGCAGCAACCATGTCTGGCATGGCCCCAGCTTCTCAGAGCTAGGCACAGAGTGGGGTTCAGAAAATGTCTGTTAAATGACTGAATGACCACAAGAAAAGTGGTAGCTGTCATCATCATCATTAGTATGGTCATACTAATACCATTACTAATAGTGATGAGGATGATAAGGTGGTGGAGGGATGACCTTGAACGCTAGGGCTGTTTTATGTGCAGACAAAACACAACGGCCCAAAACGCAGCTCTTGGTTGTGAAGCAGGGTGTCTGTGGCTGGTGGCACTGGGTCCACCTTAACTCTTGCACTTAGTGAAGTGATCCCTGACCAACGGGGACATTGACCATGGGCCTCAGGGGTCATCAAAGTGTAATATTGGGTTGCAGTCCCTCCACAGTGGGCGCCAGGGTGAGCATTCTAAAGCAGGAGGTAGGGTGGGCCTCAGGGCCTACCAGCAGGTACTTCTCCTCGAACTTGGCGATCTTGTGTCTGCCCTGCTGCTGGTTTTCCCAGATGGCCTCTTGGACACATTCATTGAAGGTATCAAGCTCTGTTTTCCGCTTCTCCTGCTGTTTCAGGCCATACTCGAAAACACTCATGCAGATAACAGCAAATTTTTCCTTATATGTGAGTGGCCGTTAAGGAAGCTTGTGGCTGTGTTGGGAGCAGGTGGCACAGGGACCTGACAAAGGTGTTGGTAACTCCCTGAGCAGGGTGCAGACTGGGTGCTCCACACTGTGTGTGGGACTTGAACCTATGGTCCCATTTGGTCTATTGACAGACAGATTTGAGTTTTGGAGGATAATGTGGTAGTTGGGCACCTCTACCCACAGCCTGTAGGATTCAGGAAAGGGGCCTGCATGGGGCAGGGAGTGGTGGGGGCCCTAGCAGGAGTCCACAGGGCAGAGAAGAGATATGCTAAGATAGGCCCAGAAGGTCTCTCCTCTAGAACCTGCAAGGCCAGGGAGGGTCTGTAAGCTCGTCAGTGTGGGTATTGTCTCTGCTATTATCTAGAAAGGCACCTTTACAGGGGATCTGTCTTGGTGCTCGGCTGCTGCAGCTGTGCTGGGGGATGACCACAGGGTTCAAGCAAACAGATGCAGGTTCAAGTCCTGGCTCTGCCCCTGCTTCCAGGACCCACCCTGGGAAGTCACTTCACTTCTCTGGGCTTCAGTTTCCTCATCTGCAGCAGAGGAAACTACAGAAACTACCACACAGAGTCCTTAGAAGGGTCCTTGGAGCCAGGCAGGTAAAGCTCTAGGGCTTTGGGTGACACTGTGGGGTGGAAACCAGTGATCAGAGAGATGAACACCCTTGCCGAAAGTCACAGCAATACTGTGCTACAGCTGGCTGAGAGTGCCTCCTCCATTCTTTTCAAAATGCGGGTTTGAGTGAATTTCTCTCTCTATCCAGTGAAGGTGGCTCCACAAACACATCTGTGACCAGCTCCTCATCTCAGAGCTCTCAGATCCAGGGACTCCTCCAGTCTCCCCAAATCCCTCAGGCTGCAATGTAAGCCCATCTATTGGTTGCTATGGCCAGGACCATATGACAAGTGCTAACCATAACCCTTGGACTCTGGCTAACAGGAGAAAACAATGCAGGCTCTCAGGGCCTGCAGGTGGCGTGACCTCAAACAGCCACTCAGCCTCTCCAAGCTTAGCATCCCCAGCTATGACATGGGGTTACTGATGGAACCCCTCTGGTGGATGGCTGGGAAAGCTATATACACCATATGCCAGTGCACAGCAGGAACTTCCTGGGAAGGAAGGAAGGAAATGCCACAGATGTGCATTTCAGTCAGTTTCTCTACCTCTGAAAACCTGGCCTGCCAAGCACTGGCTGTGCGATGCTGACCACTCAACATGTCCCCAAAATCTAGACAGCATTTCTCCCACGCAGCTCAGGCAACCTGGTTCTCAACTGCCTCTTGAGTACACTGCTCTGAGCAGGGATTTTGCTTCCCAAGGTCTTATAAGAAACATGGGGAAACTGAGGCCCAGAGTGGAGGGGTACCTGCCCAAGGCAGCTGGTGGCACAGGGGCCCTACTCTGTCAGGGAAGGCAGCTGTGACCACAGATGAAACCTGTGGAAGGATATGACTCAAGGAGCTCGCTGACTCCAGGCAGGTAGGACAGCTTCCTGCCCTCAACGTCCTCAGCGTACATGCTGTCAAAAAGGAAGGTGCCGTTCAGGTGCTCCACGAATGCAGCCTGTGGAGAAGCATGGCTGGGTGTGGGGACTCCCAGCAGGGCCTCCTAGTTCATCCCTGGGTCCTTGGGAGCCCCTGTGCCAGGCTCTGTGGCCCCTGACCTTGGGTTGCAGCCTCCAAGGAGACAGGCTGGGGAAATGTTCCACATAAAGGGAATGGCACAGAGGTGCAAAACTGCAGGCTATTTCCAGAACATTACCTGTGTCTCAGCCTGGCTGCAGGGAGGGGTGGGGTCTGGTCATGAATTCAGTCATTTGAGCTAAAGGACTTGAGCTGTTCCTGGCATGCCATGGGGAACTACCTGAGGGTCCTAAGAAAAGGAGCAGCTCTGACAGATTGTCTCTAGCACAGTCTCTCCAGTCCTGGGCTGGAGGCAGGAATGCCAGCAAGAAGATGAGTGGGGCTTGGGGCTGAGCTGGCCCTGGGCAGAGCGAGGTGGAAGAGGGCATCAGGCCGTGTGGAGGGAGCATGATTTGTGTGTTCTTGGAGCCAGGGAACCTCTGCTGAGTGGACTATTCCCCTCCCATGGGCATCTCTGAGTCAGGCTGAAGGCATGCAGTGCCTGAGCGGTACCTTGTGTTTCTCCAGCTCCTCCTGCTGAGCCTGCTCCTCCTCCAGCTGCACCTGCATCAGGTGCTCGCGGTGCTTTAGCTCGTCGATGCTGTACTGGTGCTTGGCCTCTGCCAGCTCTTTCTGCCCAGGGAATAGGAAGTGGCACTGTTACTAGATGATGTTGAGTTCCTCCAAGCTACATGGCCTTTGCCATCCTGCGGCCTTTGGCAGCGCAGGCAGGGGTGTTGTGCAAGTTCATGGAGACTGTGAAGGCAGGAGGTCTTGTGAGGGACAATGGCTCATATCTTTATGGCCCTTCACAGGTGTCTGAGTCTAAGGGAAGTCAGAGAAAGACCAAGAGGAGTGGAAAGCAGCAGCCTGAGGCTGGGGCATCTCAGGGCGGAAGCCTGTGATGGACCCAGCTGGTGGTGAAGCACCCTCCACCAGACTTGGTGTCTTCCACGGAGGACTTGCCCACTCCCTCCCAGCAGCCCTCAAGGCAAGCCCTCCTGTGTCTTTAGGTAATGACAGTGAGAGAGAGGTAAAGTGAGTTACCCAAGACTACAGGGCTGGTCACAAGGGTGTTGGCCCATGGCTCTGTGCTCTGCTTCTTCCTGGCTCTCTCATGCTTCTGGCTTACCTCCTGCACCTGGCCAGGACTGCTGGAACCCCTAGAGTCCGTCCTCACCCCTTTCAGCTTCTCTGAGCACCCACTGATCCTTGATGACACCCAGGTCCCTATCTACAGCCCACCTCCAGGTTCCTATCTCCAGACTCCACCTCTGAGAGAGCCAGAACTGAGTCCTGATGGCCTGACTCTCTCTGAAGTTCAGCTATTAATGTTGCTCCTGGGGTTGTACAGACTTGGAGTAAATCCTGGCTAGACCAAGAGCCAGGGACCCTGCTAATTACTAGCCCTCCTTTGGCCTCCTTAATATTTTCTTCTAGAAATTGGCAAGTGCAGGGTGGTTCTGACGTAGCCCTGAGACAATGCTGGAAGGAGCCTTGCTAGCGGGAGCCAGACAAAACAGTGTTCATGAAGTTGCTGCTGGACTCGTCCTGACAGAGGCAGGTAGAGGGACTTAGGAAGAGGGAGCTGCCCTATCTGTTCTCCTATTTGTGGAAGGGGGACGCTCCCCCTCCATATCCCTCTTCCATGGAGCCTGGGAGACAGAGAGGGAGACACCTGCCGTCTGGTCATCAATGCGCCGGAAGTCCAGGTACACGAGGTCAGGAAGGTAGGCACAGATGAACATCTTGTAATCCTCTGCCTCAGAGAGGGGGTTCCCGGAAAGGCTGAGCGTCCGCAGGTACTTGAACCGTCTCAGGTAGATGATCTGGGAAGAGGAAGTGAGAAAGACCCATTTTCTTGGCCACTGTAAAGCTAAAAGCACATCTGAAGCCCCTCTCCTCAGCGCTGTTTCAGAGTTTGCAGCCTGGCCAGAGCACCATCAGCACCAGGTGGGGTGGGGTTGCAGGCTAGGCAGCGGTACCAAGACTGGTCAGCCATGGGCCATCCAAAGAATTGGCAGTGGGACCTTGGACAGGTTACCTAATATCCATGAGCCTCAGTTTCCTCATCCGTAAAATGGGTATAAAGATATCATGTGTGTTATAGGTGATGTAAAGACCAAATAAAACCAGCTCTGAAAAGCATTTAGCAGAGGGCTGGGTACCTACTCCACGAGTGGTCACTGTCATTGGTGGCAGTGGCCACTCATGTGGGCATGCCTTTTTATACTGTAGAGCCCAAGAAAGGTCCAAATAGAACCCGATTTATAGTTAACCTTGGAGGCACTGGATAACAGCTAGTGGAACATTCCACTGACCTCTATTTGTTATTCTACTTTTAGTGAAATGTGGAAAAAGTCAACCAGACCTTTTTTTTTTTATAGAGACAGTCTCACTTGATCGCCCTCGGTAGAGTGCTGTGGTGTCACAGCTCACAGCAACCTCCAACTCCTGGGCTTAGGCGATTCTCCTGCCTCAGCCTCCTGAGTAGCTGGGACTACAGG